AAAAAAAAAAACCTTCTAAAAAGTCTACCAAATAGAGCATTTACAAATGCACAAAAACATGCCACTTTGGCTTTATGGGGAAAAAATATTGTCTTCTAGATTAAAAAAAAATCTTTTAACATAAATAAGTTAGTATAATTTCTCAGTGTCTTTACAGAGTTATGTACACAGGTACACTTCAAACTTTTTTTTTATTTTTACATACAAGTACACAGGCAACGTAGAAATACTGTTTAAAGATGTAGTATCCCTTTTTCTCTCACACTCAGGAAGTGGGTCAGATCAGAAAACAACAATATTCCAGATTCAGAGCAAAAGCCTTCCAGATTAGGTAAAAAAAATAATCAGGAAATGTATTCAGGTGGGATGATTTTACACAACTTTTTACAGGTTACCAGTTTTGGTATATGGATTTGGAGAGTGGGAGAGCGAGGAACTTCTGCTACTACATAACGGAATCATCACAGCTCCCTCCTCTTCAGTTCAATGCTGGAGGAAGAAATTTCACAATAACCTGCTCTGAGCAGTTAACACGATGATACATAAAAAAAAAAAAACTAAACAAATTTTTAAAAAAAGAGAGGAAAAACACTATGGACCCACTTAAAGGGACAATACATCTTCAAGTAATAAAAAACCTACACTGCTTCTCTTCATAGATTTCTTGGCTTGCTAGATTGTGAAAGCAAGTTCCAATCGGTCACCCTCTTCCAGTCCCTCCCCCCTCCCAACAAGTTTTATGTGCTACATAAGGTAAAAACTATATACACAGGTAGTACAATGAAGCAAATAAGGAAACACCTAATTGCACAATGCTACATCCAATGCTTTTAGAGGCAGGTCTTTTAAGAGTGCCTAAAATTTAGTGTTATTGTTTGCTTTTTGTTGCTGTTGTTTTGTTGCTGGTTGTTTTTGTTTTGTTTTGTTTTTTTTCAGTGCTTGTACAGGACCTCCATGTCCCGAAGATCGGCGATATGTATTTTTTTCCTTTCCCACTACAACTCTTCATCTTTCTCTCTTCATCGCCACCCGCCGCACCCGACGAACGAGGACGCATATCCTCTGTTCTGCAACGGGAATAATGAAGGAAAAAAAAAAAAAAAAGAATAAAAAGACCGGGGAAAGCGATTAGAAAACATCGACAAGAAACGCGATCCGCGGTGCAACCGGTTCAAACCGACACCGCATCCCCAGGGCGGCGGGCCCGGCCCGGGCGGGGCCCCTGCCGCCCCCCCCGCGCCGGCCGTGCTCTCGCACCGCTGCCAGCGGCCCCGAGCCTCCATCCCTCGGCGGGGAACGCGGAGGGACCCCTCCCGAGCCCCCACCCCTAAAAGCGGGCGGGAGTGGCGGCATTCGCACGGCCGCGCTCGGCCACGGCTCACCCCAGCGGGACTAATTTGTTGCAACTTCTGCTTTACAGCTTAGTATCTCTCTGCACAATCACAAATCGTTTTATTGTAAACCTCATTCCTAACCTCGGCTCCCAAACCGCCAGCGCAACTTTTACCAACTCTCCCCGCACCAGCCCTCGCCTCAAAACAAAAAGGGGGTAGGGGAAAGAAAAAAAAAAAAAAAAAAAACTGCACAACCCAGCCTCCCATTAACCCACTCCCTTCTCTCCCTTCTCCCTGCCAGCCTCTAAAACCAAACCAAAACAACACAAGAAAAACGGGCGGGGGGGGGGGGGGGGGGGGGGGGGGGGG